ACATTACCTCCTGGATCTGCAGGCGTCCGTCTGCGGTGACATCATAGGCTGACATGAACCTCTGCTTCAGCCTCTGGACCCTCTCCTCTGTTACCTTATCCTGCAGGCAGAGAGAGACGAGAACAACAGCTAACACGGTTACTATGACTCTTCCCCCCCCCCCCCCCCCCCCCTCCTCTGACCAGATGTGCTTCTTGGTACCCGCATGTCTTTCTTCTCCGGTGCAAATGTAATATACCCGATGATCAATGATGCTTCCCTCCGGATTTTCCGGAAACAATAGAAATTCAACCAAAGATGTTCAATATAATCGACAATGTTGCCTATTCATATCATATGTAGTGACGGGCCCCTGAAGTGACTCTCTACACTGTATGCAATGACTTCCTTTGTGTTGTCTTAGGAATGCTGCATTATCTCACCATCCCCCACTCTGTCACGTCTATGTGAAGCAGAGGTTCTGTTGTTTTCTTTACATCCTGTAGGTCTGTTGTTCTGATTGGAAGTTCACTTTTACAGTATCCTATTGGTCAACAACTCAGGTGTTATAAAGGGGTCTTAGATTCATTCTGTTTTTCTCTTTTTATTCCGGACCTGCTGTGGTGAGATACACGCTCTCTCCTTCTCTCTCCTTCCCATGGCCTCTTTGGGCATGGCCTTTCAGGCTGTGACTTCTCTCTCAATTCAATTTCAATTCAATTTAAGGGCTTTATTGGCATGGGAAACGTATGTTAACATTGCCAAAGCAAGTGAAGTAGATAGTAAACAAAAGTGATCATGCCTATAATAATGTCTTGTAATGCTGGTTTTGCATTCTACTTAAGCTTATGTGAATTTTTTTTTTTTTTACAATGTAATTAAATCTATTTTCCTTTAGTATTCCATTCTCATACCTTTCTTCATAGCCTATTACTGTAACTCAACCATAGTCTCTTGCATATTACTAAATCATCTTTATGGAGTCAGATATCAGTTTTGACAGACTTTGATCATTTTCATTGCATAGTCTTATTACGGGTTGTATGTAAGGTATATATAATATGCATATATATATATGTATATATATATATATATATATATATATATATATATATATATATAAAATATGAATTCACTAGACATACACGTCATAACTAATTAGCTGTGTACACACAGTGAGAGCAGGAACAAACACACATAAATGACGTGTCGCAGACATGTAGGAGCCAGCAGCTTCCCATAATACTGTCTGTTCTCAGTAGTATTCTGTTCCTTATCAGCTGTTGAGCTCAGGCATAATGATGTCCAATTTAAGTGAACATATTGACCAATCGGTGTGTCCATGGTCTAAGGGCAGGACAGAGCAGAGCAGGACGATCTTAAGAGCCAATACTAATATAATAATAATAATAATAAGCCATTTAGCAGACGCTTTTATCCAAAGCGACTTACAGTCATGCGTGCATACATTTGTTTTGTGTATGGGTGGTCCCGGGGATCGAACCCACTACCTTGGCGTTACAAGCGCCTGCTCTACCAGCTGAGCTACAGAGGACCACAAAGCAAAGCAAAGTTAAATACAGAAAATGTATGGCATTTATTGCAGTCGGGCAAGTTGAGCTCTGAGAACGTATTTACTGATCACAACCAAACTAGAAAGAATTCCAGTACTGATCTTTCTGATTCCGCCCCTATGTGTAAGTGAAAGGCAGGAAATATATTTAACTTCTGCATGTAAATAGCTCATTTACATTTTTGGGCAAGTGATCATAATCTTCAGGCAACCAAAAACCACTCCACAATTGCCCTTTCAGACTGTAATGTCAATACTTGCTGTTCCCCAATGGTGGAACAAGCTCCCTCACGACGCCAGGACAGCGGAGTCACTCACCACCTTCCGGAGACATTTGAAACCCCACCTCTTTAAGGAATACCTGGGATAGGATAAAGTAATCCTTCTAACCCCCCCCCCCCCCCCCCCCCCCCAAATTGTAAAGTGGTTATCCCACTGGCTATAGGGTGAACGCACCAATTTGTGAGTCGCTCTGGCTAAGAGCGTCTGCTAAATGACGTTAATGTGCCCTTGAGCAAGGCACTTAACCCTAATTGCTCCTGTAAGTCGCTCTGGATAAGAGCGTCTGCTAAACGACTAAAATGTAAAAATGTAAAATGTATATGATAGACATTGAGATGAAAACTGAGCACAGACGTATTGGTCTTAAGACTACCAAGTGATGGTCAGTTTAATGTATTTTAACAATATCACAACAATATTTTGTTTTCTACACATCCATTTGTTAAAACAGGAACCATTAAAAACACCACCACCATCACTTCCCTCTAAGTATCAGTGTTGAACATGTGGGATGTGGGTTCGTTTCCCACGGGGGCCAGTATGAAAAAAACAAAAAAAAACATGTATGCATTCACTAACTGTAAGTAGCTCTGGATAAGAGCGTCTGCTAAATGACTAAAATGTAAAATGTGTTCCCTCTATCTACCCACCGTGAAGATAGTCAGAACACCAACAGTGTGTCCCAAATGGCACCCTATTCCCTTTATAGTGCACTACAGGCTCTGGTCAAAAGTAGTGCACTATATAGGGAATTGGGAGCCATTTGGGACGCAACCCCATAATTGTGTTGGCTGATGCCAGTAGCATCCTAATGTCATCCTTAAGCCCATCTGGACAGCAGCTCAACCCACTCAGGAAAAAGACAAACACATACTAAAAGGTTGAATAGAGCCTTTGTTTGCACAGAGCTATAACTAAAGATACCCCTGCCCTTTAATGCACAATCCATGGGAAAAGTACTGGCTGTTTTCCTGTATAAACTCATAGTTTTATTTACTGCTCAATCATCAGTAGTCGGCCATTGAATCATTTTCTTAACTCGCCTAGACAAAGTAAACTGATCGACTGTAAATACTTAACACAAAAATAAGATGCTGTTGGCAATCTCCCATAGTGGCAACATTGACACACCACTTACAATACACCAGAGGCAGAGCCTTTAAAACATTGTGTGCTATCTGCAATAAAGGAACTTCCGATTACACTTTTTAGAGGACCAGTGAGTCATATTTAGAAGTGGATATATATAATCATAATATATCTGTTATGAATCATTTACAAGGGGGCACACTAGTTTCTGGCAGTACTCGCAAATAGACTAAATGCACCTGCTGCGCTTCAAATGTGTTGGGCGTTATTAGGCTGCTGATAGAATAGACAAAAGATAGAGGGGAAAAGATGTGTACTTACCCCCGGACCTAATTTCGTCATCATGTGACGGAAAAATTGATCCAACTCCTTCCCTTCAATGTAACCGTTATCTGTAGAACCATGAACAACATAGAAAATACTCTCTCGTTAGTTTTAGAATACATTTTAAACATTTTCTTTACATAAAGAACATATTTTTGCATCAAAAATAACATATGTCAAGTCATCAAATCATAACTCGCATGGTTTGGTTATAATATTGATAATTCTCACCGTCTGCATCAAAGTGGTGCCAAATCTCCAGAAAACCAACAGCATCCAAGTGATCAAAAGCGCAGTCCATTGTAATAAACAGGAGTGGAAATTATAACTCTTAATACCGTTTAGGATAGTTCAGCTGGTAGCCTACTGTTGCTGTATCCTTGCCGAGAGCCTACTCTGCACTAGTTTAGTACAACATATGGGTGCTTTTATTGACGTGGCCCGATCAATTCTCCAAACCCCACCTCCTTATATGGAACAATCTGACTTCACCATGACGCCGTGTAGAATGAATAGAATACAGTATGGACAAACACATTTTAACTGCAGCGCCATTAGAGTTTGGTCAACTTTTAGAATGTTGAATATTGTTCTAATTCTAGACATTCAGTTGCATAGCATTGTTTTAATATTCCCCATGTAATGTTAATGGGAACTAACATGGCTGCCATAGAATGTTGAACTGTCATGTAAATGCATCATAATGGTGAAAACCGCATTGGCCCAACTCTCTAAATACATGGTTCTGTTGAATGTAGCAATAAAAGAGATGAGAGTAAAGTCACAAAAATGCTTTCCTCCTCAAACTGGTCTGTCAAATATAATAATAATAATATGCCATTTAGCAGACGCTTTTATCCAAAGCGACTTACAGTCATGCGTGCATACATTTTTGTGTATGGGTGGTCCCGGGGATCGAACCCACTACCTTGACGTTACAAGCGCCGTGCTCTACCAGCTGAGCTACAGAGGACCACAAATATGAAAAGTTAAGCAATATATTACCAGAGATAGTTTACGACTTCATTTAATTTCTCACTTTCAGATTTTTAGAGTGGCTGGCTGAATTATTTCTCAGCTTGCATTGTAAAAAGCACTAAGTCAAGACACTCTTATATTGTGAGTACAGTTTCACATTAACATATTTCAGTGTTTTCTTCTATAGGCGATATGCACAGGCGAGCATGACGTATTTCCCGTTAAATCTCAGGATGGATGTAAACTTCCGGTTATCGTAGAACGCTGTGCTACCGTATGCTAGCGTTGAATGCTTGTCGTCAAAAACATCCGAAACGGTTAATTTTCGTCGTTGTTGTTGTTTATCTTAATGTTTATGTTAATGTTTTTACTTGTAATACTTCGTCTTGACTTATAACACGATGACGTGTAAACGTACGAAAGGGTCCTTTCAAAAACGGGATGACAGCTCTTCCAGCCATCACTGCTGTGTGCCGCAATGTACAGTGTCTGCCAGATGCAATTCTTCTGTTAGTTTTTTTTACTTTTCCCAAAGACAGTGAATTACACAAACGGTGGGTGATTAACATTAGACGAGTCAATTTTCTTACAACAAACACACGAGTCTACAGCCGACACTTTCTAAGTGAAGATGTGATAGAGCCTCCGACTCCAGCTGGGCGCAGAATTCTGAAGAAGGGGAGCTGTTCCAGTGCTGTTTCAATGGAACAATTTCAGTCTTCCAGCCCCACGGCCCGGAGTTTGGGAAAGGACCGAGCGTCCCAACACAGAAACCATGAATGATCCGTCTGTGGAATTGGACTGTCCTCTTGACCATGACTACTGCAACAGTACTGAACCTGCTGCGCTGGATATGTCTCTTGACCACAATGAAGAACTTAGTGTAGAGATAGCAAGGCTCCGAAATCAAATTGAGGAGATAACTATCAGCAGGAAGTTCTGCTTGGAGTGGTTTGCTGGATCTGATGATGACATAAGGTTTTTCACAAGGTAAATTAAAATGTCCAATGTGTTTAATATATAGGCCTATGTATTTGAGCTGTCAACAATGACTAGTATTATTATCTGTTTAAATGTTGCATGTGTGTTGTTGTAAGCTACTGGAAACCTTGAATTTCCCTCGGGATGAGTAAAGTATCTATCTACTAGCGCATTAATTGTATTTTAAAATACTGAGAAGAGCAGTAAGCAAAAGGACTGACGTGTGCGTGGTCCAGTTTCTGACCTTAGTGCCAAATGTTCTAAGATGTTATATAACTGTCAATAAGGATGCTAACATGCTTGCAATTTAATGTTGTGTATGGACACTTAACATATAGAAATGTAACACGTATGTCCCACAGGTTTGCGAGTCATGCCCACCTGATGGCCTTTTGGAAGCAGACAGAGCCCAGCCACCTGCAAGATCATACGGGTGACAAGAGACACGAAGTGTAGCAAAGACTGATGAGGCCCCTCACACTGGCAATGCAACGGTGAATATATTTTACAGTTGTTCTTACAAAGCAAGATATATTGCATCATCTTGAAAGTTAAGCCAGTAACAATCTATTTGTGTAATGAGGTAATAATGGGATTCTTACTCTTTTCAAGGTTCTTCAACCCATTGACACATTTTTTTCTCTTCATGAATTACTTGTCATTGGGTCTGATGCAGAAGGATCTGGACCACAGATTCAAAATCCACCAGTCAACTGTAAGCCGCATCATAAATACATGGGCTAACTTCCTGTCTACTGTACTAGGGGCTGTGGGTATTTGGGCTAACTTCCTGTATACTGTACTAGGGGCTGTGGGTATTTGGGCTAACTTCCTGTCTACTGTACTAGGGGCTGTGGGTATTTGGGCTAACTTCCTGTCTACTGTACTAGGGGCTGTGGGTATTTGGGCTAACTTCCTGTATACTGTACTAGGGGCTGTGGGTATTTGGGCTAACTTCCTGTCTACTGTACTAGGGGCTGTGGGTATTTGGGCTAACTTCCTGTCTACTGTACTAGGGGCTGTGGGTATTTGGGCTAACTTCCTGTCTACTGTACTAGGGGCTGTGGGTATTTGGGCTAACTTCCTGTCTACTGTACTAGGGGCTGTGGGTATTTGGGCTAACTTCCTGTCTACTGTTCTAGGGGCTGTGGGTATTTGGGCTAACTTCCTGTCTACTGTACTAGGGGCTGTGGGTATTTGGGCTAACTTCCTGTCTACTGTACTAGGGGCTGTGGGTATTTGGGCTAACTTCCTGTCTACTGTACTAGGGGCTGTGGGTATTTGGGCTAACTTCCTGTCTACTGTACTAGGGGCTGTGGGTATTTGGCTGGGTGAGGAGACTGTCAAATCTCACATGCCAGAGGTTTTTCAGGGTTACTCTACCCCGAAATACGCTGCCAAACACCTAGTTCTCTTCTCCTCCACTTCTCCAGAGTGAGGTGTTCTCGAACTATAAATCACACTGTACATTTACATTTAATTTACCTTAACTGAACAGCTTCGGAGTCATTGGAATGGTGATATGACTTTTTTTCGAGTTGAATGGTGGTCGTGTCCCTTCCCCCTAGCGCCTGTGAGCGGAAAAAACACCCTTGCAACTTTCGGCCGGCGAGCCGCCGTCCACAGCGTCAGGAAGTATCGCGTGATATCAGGTCTCGCGATGTAACGAATTGCTTCACAGCACTGCACACATACGCCCATTCAGGAACCGGCTAACAAGGTAGCGATGGAGTTTTTCACACTATCGTCATGGCTGAGCCGGCCAAAAAGAAGCAGAAAGCTAGGAAAGCATTGTCGGAGGAACAGAGAAAGAGGAAACGGCAGGCTGACCGAGCAAGGAGTCAGACACAAGTAAACATAGGAGCTGCCAAATATCTATATATAGGGGGAGCTCTATAGAGAAAAAAGCGAAGAAATGACCAAAACTGCATAGCGCCCCTTTAATATTACAATGTTGTAAATAAGACAGTTGACAAAATACATTTTAAAATGATTGTACAATAATTCATGTGTCTGTTCAGTTACTTTTCATAGAGAGGTATTTTGACATGTATGTGTTAAAGAAAAACAAATCACATCTCTCTTTCAGGGAGCTTAATACAGTGCTGTCTCGGCAAATGCGCTGCACGAAAATGTCATCGTGGGCACAGACAACAAAATCACACCATTCCATGCCTGTGATGAGTAATTGTCCCTGGACTTGCCAATAATAACAATGGCTTTCCTTCAATTTGTGTAGGCCATGGTCAAATCTCAGGAACTTGCAGTCTATGTAGCTGGCTACATTTGGGCATTTCATTTCAACTAGACCAAATGATGGTCGCTCAAGTGGGTCATATACCAGCCCATCAGGCGATGCACCCAGCCAAGGTGCGTCCGGATGCACGACTAGCCCACACACTGTCAGATTAAGATTTTTTTTGAACTGCATAGTCCTTCAATGCACCTGCTTCCATTTCCAGCCCCCTTTTCATTAGTGGTGTTTGTCTTGTCCCTCTGATAATTCTTTCTGCCAGTTTTTCTGCTGTGCTTGTACCTCTAACATGGCTTACCTCCCGGAAATGTGAAGCAGTCACTCTCTCCTTCCTCTGTGAATGATGTCAGAGCCACTCGGGTGTTTCACTCTGGCATCTGGTTGCTTCCTCAATCAGGTGTGACTGTGACAAAGTCACAGACCGAGAACTGAGGTGAAGCTTTTCTTGATCCGTCACGATCTCGTATGAACAGTCTGTTGGTTGTAAATGGTAACCGTCCAGTGGCACTTTTGGGAACGGTGGTGCATCCTCATGGATGACAACACTGTCAGGTGGAGGTGGTGGGTGTTGATATGACAGGATACTGCCATTTTGTACCTTGCCAAAAATGGAGTCCACGAGTGGTTTGTCAGATGTGATGTTCATTCTGTAGATAAGGGGAAGAGAGTCTGGTTCCATGTCAGCATAGGCAGGTAGTGGGTTGAGGGTTGATGGGTCTGGTATCTCACCACTGTAGCCCTTGTAAAGCGTAGATCTGGAATAACAATATCAGGAAAAGTAAAGGGTTCACTAGGAAATACACCAGAATCTAACAGCGATTAATAACACTTATTTCGCAACACATTGTAGTCTGCCTATTTAATTGGACTCTGCATACCTAATTCCACTTGCCGGAGTAGCATCTGGTTTGGGCTTCACTACAACCATGGCATCCACAGGTCCTGGCTTCACTCCCTATTTATTTATGAGATGGAGATTAGGAGAGATGCTAGTATGCATGTGACACAACTGTCTGGTATTGAAATGATACAAACCATTGTTCGTGGTTTATGCCACTTCTGCTCTGTTTCAGTGCACGGAAGTACAGGAGGGACTACAGACATGCCACATTCAGAGTAATGGGCAGTCTGATATATAGTAATGCAACCAAATGATTGCATATCCCACACCCAGGACACACAGGAACAGTAGCTTTTAACAGCAGCACAACTGGCTGTGAATCACGCAATGTCATCTGAAATACACAGAAGCATAATTTAATGGGTTTTGAAAGACGAGGGTCTACAGCAGCAGGAGGAGGAGCTAAACTTGTTCGTTCTACTTTTTAACTGGTGTAAGCAACTTATCTACTGTCTCGTGTCAATTTTGTGCTTTCTGCATCACTTTCCTACTGTCTTGCACCACTTGGCTATTGTCTTGTGCCATTTACCTAGTACGAATAACAACAGTAGAGTGAAGGTTTTGCTCCTAATTCCTCTTGAAAAGTAGAAACATCAAGTACAAAAGCAAGGAAGTTGAGTCTTATGTTTATAAAGAAAGAAGTAAAGATGACAGGACAGTTTTGAGTAGAACATCAGCAGTTTGAAGAATAGCTGAGTGGAATATGTGACTGTCATTGCAGTCATCAAGTCAGGAAAAAGTAGTAATCTCATTATTGTTTACATTTCAAACCAAACTCCCTATTTGTTTACAACAGACCCGACAACAAAGCATGGCAATGCCCACTCAGCTACCCTGGTCTGTATTAGGCTACCACTGTTCAGCTATCGTGAAAACCTCTAAAGTGTTCTCTTAGCAACGGCAATCAAAGCTGTGGTAACATTAAACGAGTAAAACATGTGTTGAACGGAACCTTGAACAAGTTCAACAGAACTTTGAACGTGTCACTTAATCTAGTCCTACTCTCAGCTGGTGTGGTGGCTTTAGGTTCTTCATTGAGCGGTAGCAGTGGGCTCTCACAGAGATCTCATTTGTAGCCCTGTTTTTACCTGATACTTTCATAAAAGTACCAACACATGAAGTGAGAGGTATATACACACGATTCAACTTTATTTGAAGCATGATTAACCTGAAGCAGGACGGAGTCATGACTTAAAACACCAAAGCAAGGCTTCTAGCTCAGGCTAGCTAGCGTTAGCATATTACCTTCAAAGTTGCAAAGAAAATAAGAAACGTAAAATTTGAAACTTTTATCCAGTTTGCTACGTGGATGTCCGGATGACCCTCCGTATATCATTAACAGATACTTTAGGCAACTCCAGCAAACACCTTGTAAACTTCATCTCTGCCATCATAACGGTCTACTGTCACTGTCCAATGTTTTTTTTTTTTTTTCGGTAACCGAAAATGCCCAAGCATCCTTACGCCAATGCGGAAGTGATGCGTGCATAGAGCCTATTTGAATTACAGGCCTGTATTCAATCAAACAGACAAGAGTTCCCCCATCCAACTGGGCACACACTGGTTGAATCAATGAAATGACGTCGTGGAGTAGACGTTGAATTGACGTCTATGCCCAGTGGGATGGCTCCGCTTTCTCTCATCTTTATCTCGCCATCTGGTGGCTAGTTGTGCTACTGACAAGACCTGCCTATATTCAACACTAACACTACATTCATTACAGAGTGGAAAGGTGGTATTTACCACTTACGACTGGGGGGGAAAAAAACACTTGAACGCCCCTTCAAGTGGTAATTACAAGTGGGGAAACGGGTGTGTAAAGGACGTCACACTGCTTGCTTAGCGTGTACCACTTCCTCCCGATTCGGCATATATCTGGCTCGATCATGTACACGACCCCATCAGCTTAACATGTCTTGGGTCTAAGTTAATAATGATTCTATCAGCCCAATGTTTCGTTCTGAGATTCAATGTAGTTTAGATCAGTGTAGATCACTATAAACTCATGACGTCATTAAGAGAGATTACAAACTGAGGTGACAGTTAATCTAAAATGTACCTTTTCTGACTTTACTTTTACATTATATGTCTATTTCCCCTGGCATGCCAATAAACCTGACATTCTATGTATATTTCCCCTGGCATGCCAATAAACCTGACATTCTATGTCTATTTCCCCTGGCATGCCAATAAACCTGACATTCTATGTCTATTTCCCCTGGCATGCCAATAAACCTGACATTCTATGTATATTTCCCCTGGCATGCCAATAAACCTGACATTCTATGTCTATTTCCCCTGGCATGCCAATAAACCTGACATTCTATGTCTATTTCCCCTGGCATGCCAATACACCTGACATTCTATGTATATTTCCCCCGTCATGCCAATAAACCTGACATTCATTTGTACCCTCCCATTCTTCCAGGTGCTTGTGCAGACTGAAAAAATCACGTAATACTCTCATCGTTAATGGTCCCATGCAGAACGTTGTGGAGAACGTTGTACAAGGACGACTCCACAGGCTACCAAAGGCTGTGATGGACGTCCCCAGTCTGGTTCCCCTGGTCACCAAAGAAGTTTCAAAGCGTGTCAAGCCATTTGAATTCAACTCCATGCTGCGACAGACCACTCCTTCCGCTCTCAAAGACTTTTAGTCGGGGGACAAGGTTTTAGAAGAATGGAGGACAACCGCTCCCACTTTCATGAGTTCCCTGGAGACGGCAAGCCCATTGGAAAGAGACAGAACAAGAAGACACTAAGAGCACAATGGTCATGGCTGGAGAGAGCCTTCTCAGGGTGCCGCAATGTATGGGAACTTTATTGTGCTGCATCAGGGTAATGCAGAGGAAGGATGCCACCGTCGGCTTGCTAGACTTGGCATCTGTCAGCAGGCAGAGCACAGGTAGCTTAGTGGTTAAGAGCGTTGTGCCAGTAACCGAAAGGTCGCCGGTTCTAATCCCCGAGCCGACTAGGTGAAAAATCTGTCGATGTGCCCTTGAGCGAGGCACTTAACCCTAATTGCTCCTGTAAGTCGCTCTGGATAAGAGCGTCTGCTAAATGACTAAAATGTAATGTAAATATAAGAAGCTTAAAGTAATGTAACCCGATTCAACGATCAACATGTCATCAAGATCTGTACAAATCTCACTTAGTCGTGTTCAATCTGTACAATTATTTTAATTGGTATAAATATTGACATGAGGAAGGACATGCCCACAGCCAGTAGTGTGATTTAGTGAAACACGTTAAGGAGTGTTGTTGTCCATAACAACATAAAACA